CCTGGCTTCATCCGGAAGGTCGTCCAGAAGGTCTTCCGGATTGTTGTTCCGCCATCTGGTTTAATTAGTAGATTAGCTCTTATGATATAGGATTGGCTGCTCAAAGGCAGAACAGTACCAACCATTCCATTCCATTTCTCTCAGACAGATTCATTATTTTCACTAAAAACGTATTACATAACATTTGGAATATGATGCACATCGATGGAAGATAAATTTCAGCTCTGGCCCAGTAGGCTCTTGTCTTTCTTAACATTCTCTGTTTGGACTTGAAGTGTCATTTAATATCAGAGTTCAGGCATAGGATAACCAGAGATTGAGCATTGGGTATTCAGAATTAGAGAATTAGAAGTCATTACTGGTGTAAAAACGGAGCCACTTTAAAACGGAGTCAGAGCTGCCACCACATTGAAACTGACTTGCAGGTCCTACTTCTCAAACCTTTGGAATATTAAAACTTGCAAAATAACCTTTGGATCGGGCCTAAAGCAGCACTGCATCTCAAACGATTCTTGGCAAAAAACAACAACAACAAAACAACAATAAAGAAAACTGATATAATGACTCCTGACTGAAAATTAAAGAAATTCTTCAGAATTAGCATCACTATGTTAGTCTGTCTGCACCTATAGTAATCCCTTGCTTTTATCCATATATTTGTTCCTATTACTTTCTCAAATATCCCTTGCCATCAACTCCTACTAAGAATACAAAGTTTCTTCCTGAATCAATCAGTGCTTCCAGAATAGCCTTTGGGTCCCAAATAAATGTTTTTTTGCTTCTCACTTTGACCTTTTATTTTTAGGTTAACACTGGTGAGTTGACATAGGTTTGTATTCATTAGGTTTTCTGATACTTTTTTCTTTAAGTTTTATAAATTCCATGTGTGGATTGCCACTCAAAATGACTCCTGGCATATTTGTGTCCCCCTTTTTACTAAAGTTCTTACACATTAGTTTCTTTCTAAAACATATAAAATATATAATATTTACAATAATGCCTGCAATTCATGCTTTATTATAGCAGTTATAATCATGATAAAGCTGATTTTCTCTATGACTACCCCCATGTGGCCTTTAATTATACCCGGATTTTCTTCATTTAACAGTGTAGTTAATAATATTTACCACTCATTGCTTGCCTATCTCGCAATTGAGTTATTTTTTAAAATTCTTTCTTGTTTAAAGTATTACGTATGT